CCAGCGACTACATGCACAAGGTGTCCAACCTCATCCGTGTGACACCCAGCAGGTGAGGGGGGTTCGCACCCCCTGTGCCCCCAGCACCTTCCCCAGCCTGGCACAGTGTGGCTGTGGCTGGTCCCCCCCACTCCATCACCCTCTTCCTGGGAAGGCTGGGCTGGGCACAGGAAACCTGAGAAAGCTCCTGGAAGAAGGCACTGTTGTGAGCCCCATAGCATCCTGGTCATGCCTGGACACCTGCTGAGCCACCCATGCTGGAGGTTACCAGGCTCATCACACATCCGGGAGGGACAGTGCCAGACTGTTCCTGTACCCCCACAGGCCGTGGCCCCCCCGTGTCCCTGAGCAGGGGTATCCCCATCCTGGCGCATGATCCTGCCCTCCCTGTGTGCCCGAGGACATGCCCAGGGCTGATCTTGCCCCCTGTCACCAGGATCCTTCACAACTACATGCTGTGGCGCATCGTGGTGGTGCTGAGTGAGCACCTCTCCACCCCCTTCCGCGATGCCATCCACGAGCTCTCCAAGGAGATGGAGGGCAACGAGAAGCAGCTTGAGCCGGGTAAGATCTGCCTGAGCCAGGCCAACAAGCACTTCGGCATGGCCCTGGGTGCCCTCTTCGTTGAGGAGCACTTCTCCTCTGCCAGCAAAGCCAAGGTAGGTGATGCTGCCTATGGGCATGAAGCCACCACGACCCTCCCATCACCTTGCCAAAATGCCACTGCCACCCAGCACCCCACTGAGGGCTGTCTGGCAGGGGATGGATGGCGAGGATGCTGTGCCAGCACTGTGGTGACCCATCACAGGTGCAACAGCTGGTGGAGGACATCAAATACATCCTGGACCAACGCCTGGACGAGCTCGACTGGATGGATGAGGAGACACGAAGAGCAGCCAGAGCGAAGGTAGTGGCCACCAGCATGAACCACTGTCCTTGCCCCAATAACCAGCCTGGGCTGGGAGCCTGAACCCACCACTCACTTTGCCCACAGCTCCGGTACATGATGGTGATGATCGGGTACCCTGATTTCCTGCTGAAGCCAGAGGCCATTGACAAGGAGTATGAGGCAAGGAGTGGGCCAGGAGCACATGGGGGAGTGGGCATGTGTAGAGGGAAGATTTTCCCCACATAAGGGTCTGTGGAGATGCCACCCTAAAACAAGCCACCTCCTGGTGCTCATTGTACCCACCACTGGCAGGGTGCCCACACAGGCAGTGCTGTACTCTCCCTGGGGTCTGGGATGGTGTCTCCTTCCCCACATCACAACCCCCAGAGCTCAGCCCCATCCTCAGCAAGGTCTGGGATTGCCAGCATGATCCAGAGACCCCACAGAGACAATGGAGAAGCAGCTATTCCTGTGGGCACAGTATGGGATATGAGGACAAATTTGTGCCACATCCAGCCCATGGCCACAACCCCACACTCTCTCTCACTAAGGCTCATGGGGTGGGAGAATGCCCCAGCCCTGCTGCCCCCAGTCTTGGGGCTGGCATCCCCTCTGATGTGGCTGTGCCTCCCAGTTTGAGGTGGATGAGAAGACCTACTTCAAGAACATCCTCAACAGCATCGCCTTCGGCATCAGGCTCTCAGTGAAGAAGATCCGGCAGGAGGTGGACAAGTCTGCGTGGGTATCCCCTTGCCCTGGGAGGAACATGAGGGGGCACAGCATGGCCCCACCAATGCCCCCTGTTCCCATGCCCAGTGGCACCCCACAGGGTGAAGGGCAGAGGACAAGCCAGGAATGCCCCCTTTTTCCCCAGCTGTGCAAAGGGGTGGCCTGTCTACGCCCTTTGGTGCCCCCACAGCCCGGCACTGCTGTCTCTCTTTGCAGGTGGCTGCTGCCTCCCCAGGCACTGAATGCCTACTACCTGCCCAACAAGAACCAGATGGGTGAGCACTGCCCACCCCCTGATTACCCCTGGGGTGGGGGAGTGGCAAGGATCTGGGGCGGGGGCAGAGCCCAGGGTCTGCTGGCACTGAGTGATGCTGTGGGTGGGTAGAGGGCAGGGTAACCCCCAACTACAATGTTCTCCTGTGTCCCCAGTGTTCCCAGCTGGCATCCTGCAGCCCACTCTCTATGATCCTGAGTTCCCGCAGTGAGTGTGGGGCTGGAGGGTGGCCGGGGGGTGTAAGGGTGGGAGATGGGGTGCCAATGTCCTGGGGTCACCGCCATCCCTGCCAGCAACTTGCTCTCCACCCTCTCACCCCTGTTCCCCACCCAACAGGTCGCTGAACTACGGTGGGATTGGCACCATCATTGGGCATGAGCTGACCCATGGCTATGATGACTGGGGTGAGTGTACCCCCCATATCATGCCAGCGTGGGAGGTGGGCGGGCTGGGGGCAGCCAGGCAGGATGCCTGGGTCCCTTGGGACTACTGGAGATGGGGGTGGCCTTGGCAGGGGGACAGTACGACCGGCACGGGAACCTGGTGCACTGGTGGACAGAGCGGTCCTACAGCAAGTTCCTGAAGAAGGCGCAGTGTATCGTCAACCTCTACGACAACTTCACCGTCTACAACCAGCGGGTGAGAGCCCCCTCAACTGCTGGGCAATGCCCCCCAGGGCACACACTGCCCCGTGGGGGGGCCCTGACGCTCTGTTGCTGTGGCTTGGTGCCTGCAGGAGAGGCTGGTTCTGCCCGGCCCAGCTCTGAGACCCAGCAACTCATCACACCTCAGCTTGGAAATTCCTCAGGGTGCTGAGTGGGGGCAACTGAGGCACAGCCTCCATGCCAGGATGGGGATGAGAGGATGCTGGGCTGAGGAGAGATTTCTGTTCACTCTGTCATTTCTCCTGGCAGGTGAATGGCAAACACACACTGGGGGAGAACATCGCTGACATGGGGGGGCTCAAACTTGCCTACTACGTAAGTGTCCCCCCACCCTGGGGTGTCACAGCCACGGGACAGCTGCTTTTGCCATCCCCACTGAGTGGGCAGGAGACCCCCCAGCCCCCCCTTGCTCCCTGCAGCAGGGAGTGGGCATGATCCTGCTTACTGGTTGATGGGGGCCCTGAGGGGTGGGTTCAGGGTAGGTTTGGAGGAGGTCGTGCTGAGGGCACCCCTTGTTCTCCAGGCCTACCAGAAGTGGGTGCGGGAGCACGGACCTGAGCACCCTCTGCACCACATGAAATACACACACGACCAGCTCTTCTTCATTGCCTTTGCCCAGGTGAGCCCCTGTCCTCCCCACACATAACAAGTACTGGGGCAGGAGGGTCACCCTGTGTGGGTAGCCCAAAGGGATGGTGAGAGAGCTCTGGGGGACCCAGTGCCAATAGCCAGGAGCCAGGCTCAGCTGCATCAGCAGGTCCTGGTCTCAGGGTACAGGGCTCAGCCCCGCACAGAACACCCCATATTGCCCCATTGCCCCTGGGGACCCTACAATAACAAACGTGTGTCCTCCCCCCCATCACCTCCAGAGGCCCCACAGTAAGAAATACACGTGATCCCAAACTTCTAGGAGAACAATACAGCCAGGCAGCTCACAAACCAGGACACCCTACAACAACAAACGTGCCTCTATACTCTCTCAACCCACCTGCACCCCATACACAGACTCCTGGGAGACCCTATAATAACAAGCACAACTGGGGCATCGCTGGCTTAAACCCCCAGCAGCCAGAAGGGCCGTTGTGCCCTGGTAGGTGTTAGGACCTGAGGTGCCCCATCTGGCTCACCCATGGAACCTTTCTCCCCTGCAGAACTGGTGCATCAAGCGGCGGTCCCAGTCCATCTACCTGCAGGTGCTGACAGACAAACACGCTCCCGAGCACTACAGGTACTGGGTGCTCCCGAAATGGAAGGGGCATGGATGGTGCCAGCCTCCTCCACAGCTGTCAGTGCCATACAGAATGGGGTGGGCAACCTTTGGGGTGCTGGTGCCAGCAGATTTTGGGTGGATATCCCTGCGACAGGAGAGGGGGTAGTGCTGGGATGAGCAGGTGCCCTGAGCAGGGTGTGTGGCAGCAGTAGGAGCAGGGGGTGCTCAGCTCTGAGGTGCCCTCCTCTCCCGACAGGGTCCTGGGCAGTGTCTCGCAGTTTGAGGAGTTTGGACGGGTTTTCCATTGCCCCAAGAACTCTCCCATGAACCCGGTGCACAAGTGCTCAGTGTGGTGAGGCCAATACCCCTCTGGCAGGCTGGCAGCCCCCAACCCTGTCCCTGCCTGAGTGACACCCTGTGCCCACTCCCCACCTTCCCGTCTCCCTCTCCTACTCTCCAGGCATAAGGGGCACCCCTGTGTGACACAGGGGGTCACCCCAAAGACAAGCACCCGCCACAGGGGTGGAGGCAGCGAGGAAACACTTTTGTTGGGCAGCTGCCTCCTGCCCATCCCATTCCTACTAATTGCCCTGTGCACTGGGGTGGCGCACATCCAGGCACCCCTGAACCCCATCTTCTGTCCACCCACCCCAAACCCTTCACCCAGACCTACCACATCCAGCCCAGCATCCAAGGCAGGGAGAGCAATCCAGAGTCACCATGGGGCTGCCCCATGCCAAGTCTCCCCTCCCCCGTGTCCTCTCTGGCATCCCCCACACCAGCCTCATTCTGCCCCCTCACCAGCCCTGCCAGTGGGGGGGGCACAGTGGCAGAGCTGGGGGCCTGGCAATGCCAGCCTGCCTGGGAACACAAGACATCTGCTGTATTTTTCGCTGCTGTTTCTGGTCAATAAAGCACTGGATATGCCGGGCGGTTGCAAGGATCCATGGCTGGTATATGGGAGCAGTGGGCAGCATCCCCAGCCCTGCCCACGTGGCACCCCCCCTCTGCTAACATGCTTGTCCCACCAGTGTCACACCCCGTGTTTATTTAACACTCCCGGTTCGGGTGGTGTAGGACCCGCCCCATGCTCAGGATTTGGTGACCCTTTGGCTGCTGCATCCAGAGCAGGGATGCTTCGGAAAGCTGCTGCTCACCTGCAGGTGCCGCACCGTGGGGAGAGGAGGGAACATGGGTCTGGCAGCTCCCATAGCAGCTTCCACTGACACGGAGTCAGTGGAAGAGGGGCAGGAGGAGGATGGGCAGGAGCAGGACCAGGGGGGTGGCACGGATGCCAGGGGCAGAGTCCCGCTGGCGGCACTCGGTGTAGGGCTCGATGCAGGCGGCGTAGGCCATGACGTGGGCCACGTAGGTCTGCTCCTGCACCCCATGGAAGAGGTGGGCCATGGGGCCCTTGGCCAGGATGGCCACGTCCTCACCGCCGTGGGTCTCCGAGTCGAGGGGCACGGCCGCCTGCTGCAGGTACTCGAAATCCACTGCAGAGGGGAGAGAAGGGGTGAGAGGGGGCAGTGATTGCTCCCAGCCCCATCCCACCACCCAGCCATGGTCTCTGTGCTCTCACTGGCTGTGTCATGGTCCACATTGGGCCGGTCGGGGCCCGCGTGGCCTGGCCCGTTCCCGTAGAGGATGGATGTGTAGCTCTTCCCATCAATGGCCTGTGAGGGGGCCAGACCTGGGGAGGGGGTGGGTGATGGAAGGGAAGGATCAGCCAAGGAATGCCCGTATCACCCCTCTGGCCTCAGTCAGGGTGCCGCAGAGCCAGCAGTGCCCGGCACAGGGCAGAGCCCCACCGAAGATGGAGGTGCCACGCAGCGTGTAGCCACCAAAGGAGAAGACGTGTGAGTGGTCAGCAGTGATGACGGTGAGGGTCTGTGCCTCGTCTGTCAGGACCCCTGCCCGCTCGATGGCCCGGTCGAACTCCACCGCCTCCGTCAGCGCCTTCTGGGCTGCCCCGTCATGGTGGCCGTGGTCGATCCTGCCGCCTGCAGACGGGCACTCGCGGTGGGCTGGGACCGAGGGCAGCACCCCCAGCTCCTACCCCCACCTTGGGATGCGGGACCCCCCCTCTCGCCAGCCCCAGTGGCACCAGCCCCAACTTATCTTCCACAAAGAGGTAAAAGCCTTCAGGGTTCCTGCTCAGGATGGTGATGGCCGCCTCCATCATCTCAGTGAGCGACGGGTCCAGGGTGGTGTTACGCACCAGGCTGTACTTCATGTCCCCGGGTTCAAAGAGACCTGGGAGGGGACACATTGGGGACAACCTCAGTGCCTTCAAATGTCCTGGTGCGTGTTGGGTCCCGGCACACGGCACATTTGTTACCCATCAGATAATTCACACTGGGGTTGTCAGCAGCAGCCAGCATCTCTGTCTTATTCCAGACGTAGCGGGCACCCTGTGTGTGAATCCCACAGGGAGGTTAGTGGCTGCCTGGCCCTGTGCCAGGGGCAGTGGGCAGAGGACTGTCCCTGCTGCGTCACCCACCGGCCGCGCCTCCAGCCACGTGTCAATGAGGTTTATCCCATCCTCCCGTATCCCATTCTGCTGGCTGTTGGTGGGATACTCAGGGTCCGGCGTCCCCACAGGGGTCATGTATTTCCGACCACCCCCCAGGATCACCTGGAGGGGGTGAGACAGGTGCAGTGTTAATGGGGCTGCCCTGGGGTTGGGGGGGAGTGTCTACTCCTGCTCCCCCCGTCCTGTGCACGGCCACTCACGTTGATGTCGACGTTGTGGACCAGCTGCCAGGCGATGTCCTTGCATCCCTCCTGCCGTGCATCCATGGGCATGCTGGCGTCCGCATACCAGTTACGGTTCACCACGTGGGCGTAGGTCCCCGAGGGCGATGCGTGCTGCACCCGCGTGGACGTCACGATGCCCACCGACTTCCCTGCCAACCCCCCAGCCGTCAGACCCCATGAAGGGTAACAGGGTTCCCCACCATCCAGCTACGGGGTGCTCATGGGGGTAAGCCCCCAGTGTGATGCCCCTCGTCCCCATGGGGTCCCTCCAGCCCTGCAGCCCCTGTTACCAGCTTTGCGGGCTCGCTCCAGCACCGAGATCACCTCATTGCCTGCGGTGGTGCTGCACTGAGAGTGGCGGGCGGCCGCGCTCAGCCCCACTGTCTGGTAGTTGCCCTTCACCCCGCAGAGATAGGCTGTGGCTGTGCCCGCGCTGTCGGGGACCTGCCGGTCCACGTTGTACGTCTGCCGAGGACAGAGGGGCTCAGGGCAGGGGGCAGTTGGCAGAAGCACACAGGGGGGTGCCCCCCCAGCACTCCCTGCTGCACTCATTGCTCACCCAGGGACAAGTGTGAGATGGGCACGGACCCCACGCACTCCAGACGTGCATCCCTGTGCTGCCAGCAGCCCCACGGGCATCACCATGGCCCCGTGCCCGGGATCACTCTGGCCCCTGTCCAGTATGGTGGGGTTTACCTTGGAGAGAGCCACGTAGGGGAAAGAATCCAGAGCAAGAGGGGTCTCAGGGCCCAGCCTCCCCTGCAGCTGCCCCTTGAGGATGCGGGTGGCTGTGATGGTGGGGACCCCGAATCCTGGGCGAGGAGAGAGGGTCCTAGTCACCCTCTGGACTAGGTGCCCTCCTCACACCCCACTCAGCAGAGCACTGGCCATGCCAGCCTGCCTGCCGGGGGTGCCAGCAGGACTCACCATCCCCGAGGAAGAGAATGAGGTTTTTGGCTTGGCCTATCCTAGGCTTGATTTTCAAGGAGGCGTCGATGGCTGCAGCTGCCTGCTTGTACCAGAAGGATGGATTCTCCTCCTCCTCTAGGACAGGGTAAACACCTGTCAGTCAGTCCCAGCTCACCAGCACCTGCATCCCTGGGGCACACCAGCAGGGATACTCATTCCCTGGGCGTCCCTATGCTGGGGCCTTCTCTAACATGGACCAAGGGGTTCAGGGTGTTATTTGGGGTGGGAGGACACCACGCAGGCTTGCACCTACTGCCTGGACTGGGGTCCTGAGGCAGAGAAGGAGGGGAGTAGCAAAACCAGACATGACGGGGAGTGATCTTGCAGGTGGGATGGGGTCAAATCCATGGTAATGGGGTGGTGATAGAGGATAAAGGCATTTCCCCCAGCCCAGCCCCCAGCCCAGAAACAAGCAGGAACCCATGAGAAAACTGGCTCAAAGACCCCAGAGAAGCAAAGTTAAACCCTATTCACCCTTGCAGAGCTGGGCAGCCCCTGCCTTCCTCCCCAAGCCCTCCCTGTGGCCAGCCAGGCTGATGACCTGCTTCCCTGGACACCCCATCCCTGTACCCACCTGGGATGATAGCAGTGCTGAGTCCTGCCCAGAGGCAGAGGGTGAGGGATGCCAGGAGCTTCATGGTGGGGTCCGACAGCCCAATGACACTGGTAGTGTCTGCAACTCCAGCAGATCCAGGGAGGGACTTTGGACAGGGACCAGCCCTTGCAGGGTGTGTGGAGGGGTTCGGTACGTGTCCAAAAGTCGGGCGTTCGGCCGGGCAGCTCGCACAAAGGCCACAGGGCTGGGCTGCTGGCACCTCCCTGGCACTCCAGCTGGGGCTGCTGGGGCACAGATGGGCTTGGGGTGCAGACAGATGCAGGGACAAGAGGATGTGCAGTTCCTGGCAGCTACAGAGCTGCAGTGCCAGGCAGGGGAATGCCCTGTCCCCAGGTGCCAAGGGCAGTGCTGAGCATTGGAACTGCGACAACAGTGGTATCAGGAGCACCTAGGGTCACTTGTGCACTGAGCACCCTGCTCTGTGCCCAGACTTTCTTGAGTAATAAATCCATGGATGTGGACAAAAACTCTGCTCCTTGCTCAGCTCCTTTCCAGGAATGTGTACTTGTACACGTGTGTACTGTGTACTGTGCCCCAGCCTGGCAAAGCTGGGGAGGACATGGCCTCCTCTCACTGTCATTTCCTTACTTCCTTCACCCCAGTGCTTTCAGTGCTGGTCCCTGGGGGAACTAGGAGCCATGACCAGCTGGAAAAATGAAGGCACAGGGCAGCACCTCAGGAACTGACCACTACTTTGAACCTTTGCACAGTGGACTGAGACAAACAACATGTGTTTTATTGCATCCCTTGGTTCTGACCACAGTGGTGACCTGGCTGCCAAGACCCTCAGAGGGACTCAGCCAGGGGCTCTCAGCCCCCCACCATGAGGGCAGCTCCACAGAGGGCCAGGAGGGTGAGCGGGGTCTGTGGGGAGCACTGGGTGCTGTGGGAGGCCCTGCGGGCTGTCCTGCACCCGGGCTCTGTGGCATAGGGCTCGAGGCACGCTGCGTAGGCCATGGCATGGGCAATGTAGTGCTGTTCCTGCACCCCGTGGAAGAGGTGGGCCATGGGGCCCTGGGCCAGCACCACCACGTCCTCCCCGCTGTGAGTCTCCATCTCCAGGGGCACGGCTGCCTGCTGCCTGTAGTCCTTGTCCTCTGCAGGGGGAGAGGAGAAATGGGGCTGGGGACAGCAGGCTCCCTGAGGCTTCCCAAGGGGGGGGGGAGTTCCCATCACCTCAGTCAGAGCAATTCCTGCCCAAGTGACTCCTGAGCCTCGTGGTGTGTCCCCAGTGGCCGTGCCAGAGGGATGCTGTCCCCAGCCACCCTGTGCCTCCACCCCATCCCCAGAAGACTCCTACCCGCAGCGGGGAGGCTGGCGGCTGGACGGCCCCCGTCGCCGATGCTGTAGCCGGGACCATTGCCATAGAGGATGCTGGTGTAGGCTCGCTTGTCCTTGGCTTTCTTGGGGGCCAGCCCTGGCACAGGGAAAGACATTGTCACCTCACACCTCGCTCCACGTCTGGGCCAGCTGGGCCTTGGGTGGGAGCAGAAGGGTGAGGTGGGAAGAGGGATGCTCGCTGCCCTTCCCCAAGACCCACCGAAGATGGAATTGCTACGTGGTGTGCTGCCCCCGAAGGTGAAGACATGGGAGTGATCCGCCGTCACCACGGTCAAGGTGTCCAAGGGGGAGGTGAGCTCTCCCGCCCGCGCCACCGCCCGGTCCAGCATGACGGCCTCCATCAGCGCCTGCTTGGCCCGCCCGCTGTGGTGGCCATGGTCGATCCTGCCACCTGCACAGGGAACACAGCCTTCACCTTCCCCTGATCCCCTAGGAGCCCACCTGCTCCCAAGACCCACATCCCACCCCAATCCCAGCCACACTGCCCTCCTGGAGCTACTCATCTTCCACAAAGAGGAAGAAGCCATTGGGGTTCCTGCGCAGGATACGGATGGCCTTTTCTGTCATCTCCACGATGGAGGGATCTGTGGATGTGTTGCGGTTCAGCTCGTACCTCATGTCCTTGGGCTCGAAGAGGCCTGGGGGAGCAAGGCAAGGGGGGTCCATTTTGGGGCTGCTTTGTGCCCCTACCAGCACCTCTGTGGAGGGGTTGAGGAGGAAGCACTGCCAGTGGTGCAGGCAGTGATGCTCCTACCCATAAGGTGGCTCACAGAGTCATCTCTGACCGCATCCAGGCCCTTCTTGTCCCAGACGTAGCGGGCACCCTGCCAGCAACAGCAGAGCCAGTGCCAATGGCACGTGCCCCATGCACAGAGGCACATTCCCTCTGTCCCGACATGTTACCTGCTTGGCACTCAGCCATTCGGCAATCAAGTCCCGGCCATCCTTCCTGGTGCCATTCTGGTCTGAGTCCTCTGGGTACTCGGGGTCCGGAGTCCGCTTGGGAGTCATGTACATCCTCCCTCCACCCAGGATCACCTGCCCGGGAGCTCAGCAGACACTCCCAGTGTTCCTGGTGGCCCCTCCCTCCCACACCCGCTCCCCAGCTCACATTGATGTCCGTGTTGTGCACCAGCTGGTAGGCGATGTCCTTGCAGCCGTCCCGCAGTGCCTCCTTGGGCATGTTGGCATCCGCGTACCAGCTCCGGCTGGCCGAGTGGGCGTAGGCTGCCCCGGGGGATGCATGCTGCACCCTCGTGGTCGTCACGATGCCCACCGACTTGCCTGCAGCGTGGGCGAGGGTTTACAGGGAGCCCATCCAGCCCTGCATGGCACAGGGTGGCCATGCCAGGCCCTCTGACAGGGTCGCCTGCTGCCCCATACCCGCCAGCCTGGCCCGGTGCAGGATGGAGTCCACCTCGTTGCCGAAGGTGGTGCGGCATTTTCCATAGACAGCCGCCCCACTCAACCCCAGAGTCTTGGCATTGGCTTTCACCCCACAGAGGTAGGCAGTGCCTGTGCCAGCACTGTCGGGCACCTGACGGTCAATGGTGTAGGTCTGGAAGCAAGAGGGGTCCAGTTGGGTTTTGGTCGGGGGCAGCAAGAATGTCCCCCCTTGCACTGCCCCACTCACCTTGGCCAGGGCCATGTGGGGAAAGGTCTCCATGGCCAACACGCTCTCCTCACCTGAGCCACCAGCCAGCTGCCCCTTGTAGATCCGAGCCGCCGACATGGTGGACAGCCCCATGCCTGTGGGCATGTCCAAGTCACAAGGTGGCACAGGCCGGGACCAGGGACAGTCCTGCCCTTCCCAGGCACTGCCCTGGGACCTGCACCAGCCCCATCTTCTCATCAGCCACATACACCAGCTGTTGAGGGCCAGGCAGGGACCTGGGGCACTCACCGTCACCCATGAAGAGGATGATGTTTTTGGCCCGCTGTGCCTCTGGCTGCAATGCCAGGGCCAACTCCAGCCTCCTCCTGGCCCCTTTATTCCAGTAGCTTGGGGACTTCTCAGCATCTGGAGGTGAGAGCAGAGCTGGGGGTGTGCAGGGGCACTGAGCACCCTGAAGGTCTTCAGGGGCACACCCCAGGGGTCCAGAATGGGCATCTCCAACTGAAACGAATTCAGCTGCTCAAAGCCCCCTCCCAGGGATGACCAGGAATCCTCTGGGAATCAGCATGGCCTTTGGCACTCCAGCATTGTTCAGAACCCACCTGCAGAGGGGGAAACTGAGGCAGAGTTTGGTAGGGAAGCTCCTTGTGTCTCTTGGCAGAGGGAGTGGGGTGCCCAAGCACAGGCCCCCATGGTGAGGGTGTAATGGCCGGGCAACTCCCCCTGGCTGTGGCTACAGAGTCGCTTGATGCAAAGTCAGTGCTGGGGGGTTGGGGACAGCAGGGATGGGGGGAGCAGGGACAGGGCCTGCTTTGGGGGGAAGTTTGGGGTCTCAGACCGTCCTGAGGTGGCTGTGAGGGTTCCCCTTTGCTGGTATCCCATGGGAAGTCAACAGGGTCCCCAGAGACCCCTAGGGAAGTGACACCAGCCCCAGCACCCCCCACCAAGGGCTCTTACCCCACTGTCCCACACGTCCCCTGTCAGTGGCTGCAGCGGTGAGCTGAGCGAGGAAGCAGAGGAGAAGGTAAGTTCCAGGGGAAAGCGGCCGTCCCATGCTGCCCACCCCAGGTGCCTCCTGGAATGCTGCCTGTGTCCAGGGCAAGGGGACAGCCCTTTATGGCCCTTCCCTGTCCCTGAGACGATGGGCTGATAACATTCAGGGACTATCTCTCAGGCCTCCCAGGGCCCTCCCAATGCTCCCGACCCCCCTGGGGCCATCCCTGCCCCCACCAGCGAGGCAGGACCTCCAGGCCCATCCCCGGGAACCGACAACTCGTGGCCCTCAGCTCCACAGTTTTCTGCAGGACCCCGGGGAGCAGCAGGGAGGGCGCAGGGCAAAGGGCTGTTATTGCAGACAGGCTGAGCTGGGCTGGGCTGGATTTGCCTGCTTTTCCCCAAGACAAACCCAAGGAGGGGGACACTGGGCTGAGGGGTAGGGGATGGACATCTTGGCTTAGGTGTCAGTGTCCTCCAGTCCCTTCTCCCAGGAGAGTCACACACTCAGCCTGCCAGGTCCTGGGACAGCCCGTGCCCAACCTGCTGGGTGCACTGGGGCAGCCCATGCCAGCACACCTGCACAACGAGGTACTTGTTGCAGGCAGGGAACAGCCCCATGTCACCAGTACCAGGTGACATCCATCCGTGACTGTATCAGCCCCTCCGGAAAGACGCTGCAGGAGCACAACCCCTAGGGACTGCAGGTGTCCCTGATGGCTTTCAGGGCTCACCAGCTCCTGGGAAGTGTGTTTTACCCACTCCTGACCCATCCCAAGACCTGATCCTCCATTCTGAGCTGGGCATCCCAGATTTGGCCAGCTGCTGGTTCCTGCCAAGGGCAGATGTGTTGGTGCCAGCACCACAGCTGTCACCACTGACAAGGAAGAGTGATGCAGGGCTCCCTTCCTCCCTCCTGGCAGAATGGATCCATTCCTTCTTGCCAGACTGTCTACCAGCCACTACTTGTGATAAAATGGGAGCTGTCAGAGCAGCCCATGCCCTTGGAGACATCCTGCACACTGGGGAGGGTGGACATGGGGACGGAGGGCAGACAGAGGTGCCTGGAGGTTGCAGAGAGATCGGTCCATCTGCAAGATGGATGCTCTCTTGACTGGCATGGAGAAGCAAGAACATGGTGCTGCAGCATCCCCAAGAAGGGTTAGGCTGGAGGCCACGGTGTGAGGAACTGGAGCAAATACATGGGGACTCCTGGAGAAGGCTCAGACTGAGGGATTAGCCACCAGACAGGGAGAACCTATCCTGATCTCTCACACCTTCTGGACAAGCATACCTGGGGGCTGGGAAAGATGGTGAGATAACTTGGATTTCATAATGCCTGGGAAGCAGAGGCAGGGGAGGCATCAGACTGCCATGGAGATGAGTTACTGCTGGGATTCCCTGACTGCAGGACACATGGAAGGCACAAAATAAAACCTGCACAAGCTCCACATAGGGCTGCTGACCCGGCTTTTATTACATGACACACAACCCTGCAAGAAACCCTCCTGCATGGCCCCACAGCTGCATCCCAATGCATCCCACCACACATCCCACCTGGGATGATGGAGCCAGCCCCTCTCTGCTCCTGGGGACATGCATCCCCACTCGGCCTTCACCACGGGCACCAGAAGCTGGGGATGGACACCACTGCTTTTAAAAAAAAGTAAGAAAGCATCAAGCTAAAAATACCCGAGAGTAGAAATGCTCTGCCTGGGGCAGGCTCAAGCCTTGAGCCCTTCTCCCAGCTGGAGTTAAAATCCAAACCAGAAATAAAACCACACTGGTTTTAAAACTCAATCCCCAAAGTCCTCGTGGGTCCCTTCCGCCTCTGGCAGGTGCCGGTGCAGGGCCTGGGAGGTGAGGGAGCGTTGGCAGCGGGAGCACGTGCAGCCTCCTCCGAGCTCACTTCTCCGAGCTCGGTCTCTTGAGCAGGGCACTGTACTTGAGGGAGCCGCTGTCCGCCGTCAGCACCACCTCCACCAGCGTGAAAATGCTGATCACCTTCAGCCAGGGAGAGAAAGACAGAGAAAAGAGAGCTTTCAGGTGATTGGCAACACACTAAGATTTGCTTAGAGCCACGATGGCTTTTGCTGCCTCCACCAGTATACCTGTGGGGAGCGAAGGAATGGAGCAAGATGGATTCAGATAGCCCTGCTGGAGTCCAGGGTGCTCGTGGGGCTGGGGCTGGAGGCAGCATCTTTAAGAGCAATACCATAGGCTCTGAAGTCATACAGGGAACCCAAACTGACCTAAACGAGCCTTCCAAAACATCCTCACTTATTCCAGCCTGATCAGGCCCCATTTGTGTTTTTTGCACAGTCTGGGAAGGATTATGGGCAATTATGCCCTTGGCTGTGGATCCCAACCCCCCTCAAGCCTGCCCGTGCCTTCCCACTCCAGCCACATCATCCCTTAATGAAGCTTGGCCAAGTTCCAACAGGAGCTGCGGTCAGAAGCGTTTTCCACATCACACTGAGCATTTTATCAGCATCCCACAAGGAGGGAACAACCTGCCTGTGCTCCCACAGCAAGAGGAAACCCGGAGGAAGCACAATGGATGGGACAGATGCAAGGGAATAAAACTCCCAAAAAATCAATCCCTCCTGTTCAGGAATGGTGCTGCTGCTGCCACCTCCCCGCTCCTCTGAACCCAGCTCTTCCTGCAACTGTATGGATCAGAAATGTAAAGCATTGATTCAGTCTGCCCTTGAGGCAGAGTTCAGGGGCTGGCTGGGACACTGGGAAGGGCTTTCCTGGGGCCACAGCCAGGCACCTGGGGATTTGCTTGTTGGAGCCTGTCCCCAAGCCCTGTGCTGTAGCAGGGCTCGCTGGGGCCATCTGCTTGGGGCTGGCCCGCAGGACGAGAGAGCACGGAGCTACCGAGGTAACCTTGTCCAATCCTTCCCAGCTCATCCAGTGCCAGCTGCTCCCAATTAATCATTTAGAGCAGGAAAATCTCACTGAGACTTAAATGTACTGAAGTGGCCAGCAAGGAGCAACCTGCAGGGAAATCCTTCTGCAGTTGGCTGCCCAGAGAGTTGCTGGCTACTGAGCACCAGCCCCTGCCCACCCTAGCTGGCTGCAGTGCAGGGGGTGGTGGTCAAAGGGCAGCCCCCACACCTGGGGGAGTCAAATGGGGATTATCAGGATTCTCCCTTGCAATCCTGCCTCATCCCTTTGCTGAACTGCTGCAAAACAGCACAATTTCACATCAAGTTCCCACGAGTCTTAGATCCACTTCATACTCCGGTCCTGAGTGATGCACACTTGAGGTTCTGGTCATCTTGAGATCAGGGAGAGATGGGGGCACCACCTTCCCTCTGTGGCAGGGACAGCCAGCCCAGACCCCTGCACAGCTTTCCATTAACAGCCTTCACTGACATTCCCACTGCCTGGCCAGGCTGAGGTAAAGCGGGAAGCAGAGGCCAAGCACCGGGTCTGGGTGGGGAGGTGGGGTGATTGGTGCCATGGGGTGTCTGGGAGACATCTAACGTGGTTCAGCACAGCTCACAGGGAACTGGCTCATCCCAGGGCTGGAGATTTATCTACTCAATGATCTGCCTGCTCCCACGGGAGAGCTCTGGTGTTTTCTTAGGAGGTGTGGAGAGTTCGTGAAGGAGTTTCCTCTACCAACTGTTTGCTTAACCAAAATGGGCCCTGCTCATGCTGGGGCGTCATTTTTCATGCAGCTCTCTGCTTGGGTGTAAGTGATCCCTGCTCCTGTAGGAAAGGAGGAATGGAGGCCACTTCGGGCCACATCCAGGGAGCTTCTCTGAGCCAAGCTGAGAAAGGAAAGCTCAGCTTCAAAGGGAGGGAGGCCTGCAGAAACGTCTGCAGCAGCCAGGGACTTCGGCCAGCTCTGACCGCAACCTCACCCCTGGGAAGGGAAGGAAAGGACTGTGCTCTGTATTAGGAGCCCGGGGCTGTGCTGGGCTTGGATGGCAATGGGGCTCAAGTGCAGAGCCCCCAGAGTGGTGCAGGGAGAGGTTGGGATTCAGTCCTCCCATCCCCACCCTGGCAGCAGGCAGGGATCACAACACTCAACACAGCTGTGATTTTAGAGCGATGCCAGACAAAAGCTGGCAAAGAAGCACCACTTAATCAAGCCAGACAAATGCGATTGCTCCCTTTGATTGAGTTACCAAGTTAATAGATGACAGGGACACAAAAGAGAGATTTCTAAATGCTGTTAAAACATTTGACACTGCATCTCAGGAAGTCCGATGTAAAAAATTTCTCCTAATTGGGGCTCAACCCTGACAAAGGGACGGAAACCCCAAGAAAAGGCCATGTCAGTGAGGGGGCAAAGAATGCCAGGATGGGGGGAAGGGTCTAGACTGGAGCTGCTTTCAGCCTGATTTTACTTAACGTCTTAACTGATGATATGGAAAGAGGAAGTAAACAGCATGTTAATTCAGTTCCTGGAGGAAACTGAATTGGGATGCAGGACACACAGCAGGCAGGGCAGAGACTAAAGGGTGTAGAGAGGTCAGATGTGAGGGCAGTGATGGGATGGAGCAGGGTTGGATGTCAAAGGAGGTTAAGATTGAAGTTGGGCTCACTGGGGACACAGAGAGACAGCAGGACCCGATAGCCTGCGAGGCAGTCCTGCCTCCCAGACATCACAGGTGGGCATTGCACACCACCCTCATGGTGTTGAGCCTATCCCACGCTGTGGGGGTCTTACCTGGTGCACAGATTCTTCCTCCAGCTCCTCTGGTTCCCACACAAGTGTCAGCTCTGGCTTCTTCCCCATCTTCTGGAAGCGGAAGTCCAGCAAGGGCAGCGCCTGCAGGCAGGAAGAATATTGGGAACATTCCCCTACTCAGCCCTCCTCCTTCACTTTGCCTGTGGATGGGGCTGACGCTGCTTTGCCCTGCACGCTCTTTAACAACTGGGATGCAGCAGCCTGTGAGCCTGAGCCGAGCACGTAAATCAGGGGCTGCTGTGATACACCATCAGCCTATATATCATGCTCTATGTCCTGTTTAAAGATGTCATTGCCAGCCATATAACCAGGTTATTAAGAGAGGATGCTGTCACCAATCGCAGGTGCTGGTCCACAGCACTGCTGTCACAGCCCCAGATAAACCATCTGATTAAATGAAATGAAAACCAAGACTCGCTGCCTGCCCTCGCTTCAGATCCAAGCTCATCTCTGTTGGGCTGAATCTGGCTTTATTCCCTTTTACCTAGGCTACATCACCCAGTACGTCACAGGGAGAAGCTGGTCCTCAGAACCTGAGCTGATCCAGACCCTCAGCCCCTCGTGCCTGCCTGGGCTGAGGGATGGAGTGGAAACTCCAGGAAGGCTCCCTCCCCTCTGGCTGGCCTGGCTTGTGCGCAGCTCTGCTGGTTGCAGAGTGGCACAAAAGGGGCACTAGTACAGCAACTGCCTCCAGTGGCCCCAGGCTGCTGCAGCCACCTCTGGTGAGAGTGCTGGCACTGTCTCACACTGGTGAGGCACTTACATTGCAGTAGATGCGCTTCTGGATTCCAAACTTCAGCACCAGGACATCAAAGGCCTTGCTCAGGACACCCATCACCATGGCTTCTGACTCCAGAGGACCACATTCCTGTCAAGAGACAGGGCTGTCACTACACAGCAGCCCTCATCCATCCATCCATCCCCAAGGGGAGCCAGTGTCTCCAGCTCCTGGAATATGGCTGAGTGGTGGTTGCTGAGTGTGTCCCCTCACTGTTTGCCTTTCCTGAGGCCAAGTGGGCAGCCACAGCCCCCTGCCTGGTGGCATCTAGGCTGAGCCTTCAGAGGGAAATCCAGAGACGCCTTGAGGGAAGACAGTCTTGGCTCTCACCCTGACAAAGACGGAGAAGAAGAGGTCACTGCTGAGCTCCTGCACCCTCTTGGAAGCCATCTTCCGGTCGTTGCAGTGCTCCGCCTGCCTCTGGATGTCCTCTTTCTCCATCTTCATGGGGGAGCTGGCACCTGCAGAGGGGACAAGTGACAATGACATGCCCGTGTTCCCTCCTGCTACAGAGCCACCCCACGGCACCCTGGACCCAGGTGCCCAGGTC